GTAAACTAAAAACAATCAGCACATAACAGATACTATACTTCTCGCCCATTGGGCGAGTTATTTTTTCTAATTTCAGATCAGAATAAGAACAGAAGAAGACCCAATATCAAGACCCATAATCCTAATTTCTAAATAAAGTGTCTGCTCCACCCTAGGCCTGTACATTTGGGAGAATCAAACCCTCCCTTCCCCGAAAACTAAATAAATATTTTATTTTTCAACATAGAATTATGTGACCACATCTATCGTTAGCCTTTAGCCACCCAACTTTGTCGAGTTTAATTGTGAATTAAAGTAAAGCGCACCATGTCATTTCTTTGTAGATTTACATGTGAGTGGAGATTATGTCGGTGACTGCATTTTCCATGTTCTCCTTTCTGTTTTTGAAATATGAATTTTCAACTTGGTTAATGCTATACCATTGACACAGAATTGTAAAATCGTACCGATTCATGCGGCTCATATATAATAATTATATTATAACTCTTTGATGTCGACATAGTGGGGTGGCTAAAGATTTGCTATCTAAACGCATACGATATATGTATTTTTTTCTTTCATCCAGAGTCAATTCGCAGATATCAAGATTGAAAATGACCTATTGGAGCAGTCGGAGAAAGCGAGACGTCGTCATTTGTACTAACATACCGAGATTATAATCGGTTGAAATCTGAAGAAGGTTCCTTATTTCAGTATTCCGAGGCTCTGTTCAAGGTTGTCGTTTCACAGAGATGCCGTTTTCTAAAAGTACAATTATCTTCGGCCATGATTAGTGTTTCTGCATTCCTAGGGAGTTGGTATTTTCGAACGGAAATTTTTAGGGAGAGGAAAGAAGTCTTCAATCAAGCTTTGAAATTGAAAACTTTTTACATGTCAGTTGAAGTCAGGTTTTTTTCACAGTTTATAATTGTTTTTTGTCTTTTAATGGGAGTATCTTTCGACGCTTTGAAACTTATTATCAATATGAATTGTATGAAACCAAGTTAAATACAAAACAAACGACATTGAGAGGTGAAAATTGTAAACAAAGTGAGAAAAATCTACTTAGCCTTATGACGAATGACGAATTGGGATTTCCATTGGAATATTTAATCTGTTGACACGACCTAACCTCCGCCAAAAGCGAAAATGCGAATTCAGACTACTACCTATTCATAAGATCTCAATGCATGTCGGATTGCATTCTTTATACTCTTTACATAAATGCATTCTATCAAACTTAAATTATCGTCGAAACGCTGACCTCCCACATGCTCCATTCATTGACGTATCCAGGGAATACAATTTGCTATGCAAAGGTATTTATAAGTGGAAAATAAAGTGTTTGTGCATGTCTTCGATTGAAGATAAAGACACACAAATTTGATAATAAAATTATATGATAATACATATTTGATTTGTCTTTTCATAAATGCATGTTATCAAAGTTGAATTAATGTAAAACGCCGACCTCTCATAAGCTCTTTTCGGTGTCGTAGCCAGGGAATAATCTGCACTATGGTAACTATGTTAGGGCATTTAGAAGGTGAATTATATTGATCTTATAACTATGTTTCGGATGTACCCGTATCATACAATTTACAATCAGATACAAGTCAACACTTGAGTCGGGTTAGCTCGGCGAACTCTATCTTGCTCTGTTATTTCGATATGTGGGGCTCAGTATTGACACATCAGTCGCTAAACCTTACTATTACCCCTCTCCCCTGTCGGCAATGCAGTCCGGCACAGCTGACATGCCACCGACATGTGATTCATTTATCTATTTATTTATTATAGCTTTGTTCACTCGAGTATTTTCGTTACCTTCGTTGAGAATGGGGACGTTTTGTGCTCAGCAACCTTTCTTACCTTACACATGTTTTCTATTTAAAAAAAAACGTTTCGCACTTTATAATGTAATGTTTAATGATATTGATAATAACAAAATCTTCATTTAAAAACGACACAGAGATAGGCAACACAACTGAGCTTTTAGGTCAAATCCCGATACTCATCGATAGCCAACCCCTTATGGACAACGAAACACAAAATTTAACAAACAAATTACATTGATGAAACCGAATAAGAGTCTTGAAAAAGGAAAATAGTAACTAGTAAGTATAAAACTTTGAACAAATATACACAAATGCATAAGTGTGTTTAAGATGGATAATTTCGATACCAACAAACAGAAAAAAAACTTTGGAATTCGAAAAAACCAGTTTTAGTGGTGTTTTTGCGGGTGACCCAACTTCACTCAATTTCATGATCATTTAGAAAGAGTAAATATATTTCTGTTCCCACGGCTGATTATAAGCCCATAAATGGAGCAGCATTGCACTAGTCGATTGTGTCTTTCTCACAAATGAATGTAAAATTAAAACATTTTTTGTGAAACCGAAAGTGCAACATTAAAAAGTGTATAAAAATTGGTCCCTGAAGGCGCATTTTTTTTCATTTTTTATACAATCAAAGGAATATGACATATTTTGTAATTTTTGCAAGTATTTTCAGATTGAAGTCCGTCAGTTGTAGTCAGAGGCCATGAATCATTGCATTGCAGCGAAATTCATGCAATTTTCCGGTTGACACTAATTTTCATTTGTTCACCCATTTTACACGTTTCTGTGTGTATTATACAGCATTTTCTTCTGATCATTTCATTGTCTGTCTAAAAACGTTGAAGGTCACACCCAGAGACTAATCGTCATGATATCATACAAATATGAAATACAAAATATTTATCTCCTTTATTTACAATCTCAGGTCCGTTACAAATCGTTTATGTCTTAACACATGTTAAATGACAATCTTGACACAAAGCTCTTTACATCAGATGTCGTGACATGGTTTGAACATTAAAACACATTAAGGTATATTTTGTGTAAAGATCAATGTCTTCTTTCGGCTATAAAATTAACATATAACATAATGTCAGTTCATTTTCCTATTTTTAAAGAGTTTTGGCAAATGCATAATTTAGATCAAGAATAAGTCAAAACAAGTCCCTTTCAATTTTAATGACACAAGTTTCAAGTGTATCCAATGAGGTTTACGCATTCTTTTTGAAAACTTCCTGGTTGTGTTTATGAATAGAATCTCTTCATGTGGGTGTGTACACTTCAATTCAGTGATAAATGATCACTTCGTCAAAAGACTTTAACAGGTAGACAGGAATATCTGCACCTTAATGGTTAATGTCTTAAAATGAAGATTACCTCTGTGTTACAATATGGACTGTTCTTAGGAATTTTGTTGATTCCATTGGTTTTAAGGCAAGTTAACTTTCTAGTTGCAAAACTAAAAAATAAATTAGGTGGAGTACAAACCAGAGCATCCAGGCACGTTGATTATATTTGTTGTTTAGCATAAGATGTGCCATCTATTTAAAATCATGCAATATATCAGTCTTAGACACTCAAATGAAAGGGAACATTTGCAGAAAGCAAGTAAAAATTATCATAGCTTTTTTGAAACTGGGATTGAAACTGTTTTAAAAACCGAAACTAAAAGCTTAACGCTTTTCTCATTCAATTTAAATATGGCTTATTTTAGATAAGTATTCATCAGGTTTTGTCAAAATCGATCAATAATTGTGCCTTCTAAAGTGTTTACAAGATAAAACTGAAATGCGTTTTGAGAATAAGGGCAATAACAAAGTAATAAAAATAGTAATAAGATATTCAATAGCCTATTCTATAGGGCTAATAAACAATTTCACAAGGTTTAGTTACGGGCTAATAGTTGAACGCGTTTTCAAGTCAGGAACAAAGGAAATAATTTAGATTAAATAGTTTTATATTTTCAAAAGGGTCCGTCCTTGGGTATTTATTAAAAATTTTAAAAATTGTGAATGTTCACCAGCAATTGTGGGTGACGCCAATATACACTCAACAATGTGGGCGTTTAAAAATGTTGTTCGAGCTTTCTTTCACATTGGTCCGAGGTCGTCTTTGGTCTGAATTGTCCCTAACCCATATAATGTGTGGGTCCTCTTCTTTATTCTAATACTTTATTTCTGTTTCGAATATTGGGACTTTTTTTTCCAGTTTTACGAAAAAACATTTTTTATTGTATGCTCGTAAAAATATATATTTATTTGAGAGGCTACGTCTCAAACAATCTTCGGCTATGTTGAAACATATAAATATTCAACTAACGGTTTATTGTCCCATCCGAAAGACTAGACGCTTTTTTCATGTCAGCCCTTCTTACATGCATCACTGACAGGGAGAAACCGGGTTGAAAAACCCGAAGTTTTTATCTCGACCTATGCCGGTGACCTTCAGGTCAGCGAGCAAGCGGCTCCCTTTAATTTTTGAGATGTACACTGAAATATTTTTATAAAATGTTTTGAGATTGTTCAAAACTTGAAGACTTGAAGGTAGGCTATTCCAAAGGTTAGATCCCTTAAAACATAAACTGCATTGGTTAGTGTAGGTCGTGGCTTCTGAAGTGTGAGTCTTTTAATATAATTTGAATATATTAGACTGCACGTCTCCACCCCCCCCCCTCTAATTTCATTCAAAAGCATATTCAATCATCAGCTTTGATGTTCTATCAAGGTCAATTTGTCTATATCACTGGGTGGGTCAACTTTTGTGCATGTCTAGCGGGCACAATGCAGCAGGTCATTTGTCTGGCATTGACCATTCTTCAGTCCTGGAGATGTGTCGAAAAAACATGCTTTTGGTTGTCTGGCGGGACAAACGCGGCAGACAGTGTGTCTGACGTGATCCATTTTAGCCCAGGGTGATGTAAATGAAATGAAATTAAGGTGCACAGCTCCAAAATATAGCACCTGAACACGATAAAAAAAACTTCTGAAGGAAAGCTAAAAAAAGCATAAACACAATAAATAAAAATACAACGATGCAAGAAGATAAAAACAATATCATAGAAATGCACTGTGTGTTGTACCGATCTTCTGTTTTATATGGCGTAATTTTGTGTCTCATTTCGGGGCCCCCAGGGGCCAAACACAGCAGGGGTCCCCGGCAGACGTCCGAGTCATTATATGCCCTACTCCATAATTGGTACTGTGTGGGTTAGCGGCTGCTCTATAATGACTGTCCCTAAGTCATGATCGCCTTTCTAGATATTAACTGTGTTTCAACTGAGAGAAAAAAGTTAGTAAAGTTTCATAAGTTAAGAAAATCCGCCGAAAAATACAGTACGCCTATGAAACGAATGATTTCTTCATATGAAGGTAAACTATCACAATGCTGGTCAAAACTTTCAATTTTAACCTAGTTATAAAACTTTAAAAACCTTTACAGTGTGTGCTTTACCTGCAACCTCTTTTTTTATCGTTAACATTATTTCCATTTTCCAGTGCTTATTGTTCAATACGGAGGCAGAGACAAGAAACATACACAACAAATTGTTGGAAGCTTTTTAATTGGTTTAAATGCACCAAAACACGGTAAAGTTCAGTTTTCTTTTACTGTATTCGATGAAAAACACACTCCAGTTATTAATTTACCAACTGTTTCCATGTTACATAACTTTTTCCAGAGATCTTGTTGAAAACTTTCCAATATGTCGAGTGAAAGCCTAACCAATACTTATTGTCTCATAAAAAATTCAATGTATGATGACCATGAAAATTTTGAAATTGAAAGTAGATCACTACCGGATATCAACACCCAATTGACAAAACCACTATTTTTAGAAACATTCTTCCGCTTGTAAATCTCTCGTTATCTCACAAAATCTGAAAGAAAATGCAATTTCAGACATCAAATTCCAAATCTAGACCAAAAATTAGTCAATGAAGGACAACAGGAAGTCTAAAAATAGCAAGGTCTACATTCGTAGCATATAAGAATTACTGGAGTCGGTCTTATATGACTTGAGGTTCTTTTAGCTATGGAACTTGATTAATTGGGTTATTGACCTATACTCGCCAAGACTTTAACAACCCTCCTCGCTAAAAAGAGACCACATAAGGACCTTTCATTTAGTAAATGTAAATTTAAAATAGACGTGCTACACCTGAACAGAATTTTTTTTTAAAAAGACCCGAAGGAATTAAAAGGTACTGGATATCTATCTATCACAAATTCAAAAAAGAGATAAGTGCGCAACGCATTTACGAATTTTTGAATTTTAAAAAAATGCTTTCGGTATTGTTTCAAGGTTTGAAAGTAAACTACACAAGCCAAAAAGGTATAATATTAACCTTTCGGTCCGAGACAAATTCATTGCTATTTTGTTAACTACATGTAAAGAAATATCGAATAGAAAAATTGCAAATACGTTTATGAAATTATCTTTAAAATACAGACAATTTACGACGACATATTTCACTTTTTATTTTGAAATAAAAACTTTCGTTTTCACCTATATAAGACTTCCACCCAGGTGATAATTCAACGAATATTTAATTTAAGAAATTTTAAGTCCATATGACCAGCCTCCATCTTGTAAAGAATGGCGTTAAAAAGATATTAATTCAATTTTCTGGAATATCACCTTGGTGAAAAATAAAGTTTTTAATTAGAAATAAGAAGTAAAATATGTCGTATGTGAGCCACCATAATTGAATACAAGGTTGTATAATTAATACTGTACATTGTATTTCAATTTATTATGCAGGACGGTATATTATACTGAAAAAAAATGTTGTATTGGTTGGACGGGTACAAGTTGTAACAAAGGTAACAATACCTTAATGATTTGTAATGGTCGTTTGTGTTACAAACGATTAAGAGGTTTAATTAATGTTACAAGCATTGTTTCGCGTGATTTGAAATGAGAAAATGGGTTAAAATTATTAAAAAAATATCCGAACCTATCAAAAAATGACTTAAAATGTCCTGATGAACAATTCAAATTTTTCTCTTCCGTCGAATAAAATTGTGTCATTCATTTTGTTCTGACGACAGAATACAATGAATTTCCAGCGTCCTGTCAATTAAAAATAAAAATAAAATGCCAATGCCATTCAAGAATTGACATGATTACTGTTTATTATTGTCTTCATTTCAGCAATTTGTAGAGGAAGGTCTGATTCAAGAGCCTGCAATGAAAATTTTCCCAACTCCCACATTGTTTTGCCTGATAAAACCACAGTTAAGAATAGTGTGGGAAAATGTATTCGACCTAATGTATGTGAATGTAAACAGGAAGGGTTTTATTCAGCTGGTTCATTTTGTAATAGTAAGTAATAATTATTTGTTCTATATCTGTTTAATGAATCCGAAATTCTTAAAACGCAAGTTAAAATCTACAAAAGTATAATAAACATTCAACCATAAATGTGATGAGTATTGCCCTTGAATGGATTTGAAAAACATAAGAAGTAACGATCTGAAACGCAAAATGAAACCCAAAATAAGAATTGTCAATACACTGTTAGCAGTTACACGGCGTTTCGTTATAAAATGTAATTAATGAAGATTACAAAACTTCGCTTAACGAAAAGTAGTTTCGTATAAGATTGCTCCCTTCTTAACTTCCTGGTCGCCTGACAAAATATTAAAAGTCTATCTAAAGCTGCAAATAGACGAGATACGGAATTCGATGCGGGATACAATTAATACAAAGATAACAAGGTCATGCCGTGGAACATTGTACAATTATAACTGCTATTTTATTTCAGTCTGTTCTGCTGTTAATAACTGTGATCTAGAATATTGTACAACTAAAACTAATGATATATTTCAGTCTGTTCACCTATCAATAACTGTGATCTGGAATATTGTACAACTAAAACTAATGATATATTTCAGTCTGTTCACCTATCAATAACTGTGATCTGGAATATTGTACAACTAAAACTAATGATATATTTCAGTCTGTTCACCTATCAATAACTGTGATCTGGAATATTGTACAACTAAAACTAACCAGAGATGTCGGAGATGTGAAGGATTGGTAGCAGATAAATCGTGGTATCGAGCTTATATTATATCGACGGATAAAAGATTGTGTATAAGTAAGTTGTCCGGTATTAAAAGAACGTGTAATAGTGAGTAATTTGTTTGTTTTCATAGCGCTGCAAAAATGACATCGAATAATTTGTAGTATGTTTTCACATTGTAGTGATACCAAGCAAGCAAGTAATTCTTACAATCTAGAATTGACATTTAACCTATTTGAAAACGGCATGTCAAAGTCTCATGTTGGTTTTACAATGTCAGGTTCAAGAGTCCTTCAGTATATTTTAATCTTAAGATTTATGATGCAATAGATGTACACTTGACAACCCCATTCATAGATATTTAATACAATGTTAGGGTTTTATCTTATTTTATTTATAGAGTCGTGTTCATGGAGACCAGACAGTAGATGTTATCCCGGTACATGTCGAGATGAGCTGTTTTCAAATTGTTATTGTTCTGTTGGCTTTACTGGAACTCATTGTAATAGAAGTGAGTGTATTAGTATAATATGTGTGATATTTAATCAGCACCTAAACTTTTTATGATCTTTGAAGTGGAATCTTACATTTATCTATCACCTTTCCAACAATTAATGTGTGTTTTGTAAATTTAGTAATACTAATTTGGTATTCATTTTCTGACTTGCTTACTTATGTAATTTCATATTGAGGTTATTTATTCTCGTTTTAGTTACTGCTATCCCTGATATTTTATACAATCAAGTGACATTAAGTGCTGATAATGGAGAAACTGTTGATGCTCCTGGTGATTTTGGAGCTGGTTCTCCACAACCTATAACCTGGACCAATATAATGAAACCCAAATCTATATTACTCTTTTCAATCAAACTACTATAAACCAAATCCTATACGTCCACCATTTGTCGTGGATTATAAAGTTGGTATTATTGAAGGAAGTATAAGGTTCACAAAGTGTAGGTTTTAGTTTCAAATTGTATATATATACTTATTTTCATTCGCCATGAGATTATGACGTGGGCTTGAAGGAAAGAGATCCGAGTTCCATGATAGACTTACGCGAACATTAATTAATTAATTTTATACTGCAGATGGCCGAAATGGAGTCAAAACACAGACCGTCAGTTGTACCACCATCAGGAAAGATAATCCTAATCAAGGTTTATTGGATTGTACTAAAACCATAAAACGTACATTCCCGGTTCCCTTCCAACATCTAGAACAGTAAGTGATCACTTACCTTGTATGAATAAAACAAGACAATTCCGTTAATCAATGTCTGGTCAGACATTTTTTTGCCTTTGTTTCTAATGTTCTGCAGCTATTATGTAGCTAAGGAGAAAAATACTCACTTATATCGAAATATTTTTTTTAAAAATTTGACAACAACAAGAAACGTCTGACATTAAGTAATTTATGTAAACTAATGTTAAGAATCGCTCGCGTAAATCATATCCTCAGCACGCCAACAGTGCTAGTACCCCACACCGTAACCATTGAATACTGACTTATAATATTTCTTAACATTTTTTTCAGACTGTCTTTCAAAATAACAACAACTATTGGAGGATTTGTGAAGATAAAAAATTTAGAAAGAAATGTCTACAACACCTACTACTACACACCAAACTCACTGTCACGTGCATTTGAGATTAAATTTGACAATGTACCACCGTACCATTGTCAACCTGTCGACAATTGTAAACTTACCATGTTAACTGATATTGACATAACTAAGAAGGTGAACAGAGAAACCACAAATTATTATTATATTGAACTGACGATAAACGGGTGGGTGGAGGCAAAGTTGAGCAAAAAAAAGCAGTAACTGTGTTACATCACGTGCGACATCATCTGCAATGATAATTTCCTCAATGTTGATATATTACTAACAATATACTGAAATGTTACAACCGAGTACAAATAGAAATAGCGACGTTGAAATTTTGTCTAAAAAGTGATAATGATGAAATTGGTCAGATTGTAATCAAATATATAGACAACCATTTCCTTGATTAGATATTTTGTTGTATCTACATTAATGAAGTGAATATCTCAAATCGTGTAGGTTGGCTGCAGTTTAAACGTAGCCTACACACATCTGATCAGCATCCATATAGAAATTCAGAAAATATTTGTTCGATATTTATTTTTTATAGGTAGAAAATACGGTTTATTGGGACGGTTGGATTGGCGAAGATTCTGGTATAGCTAAATATGAATTAGAAATATTCAGCATGAAGTCGGTAGGAAATGAACTAATTATAGACAAACGAATATTCGACACGGAAACTACATTGGTAGGTATAATAATTGATCATGTATACATGTAATTTTATCCTCCATAACCTTATCCTTAATATGACAGCAGTGACGTACTATTCTTTCTAGTATCTATCATATTTGGAAATGAAATTAAATGAATGGATTTGTATATCCTACTTTTCTGTACCATATGGGCTAATGAATCTGGGCAACGTCATGCAGGCTACAATGAGGGAAATTATGCAAGGACAGCGGCACTGAGCCACCGCGGCTCGCTATCTTATTTGGAAGTATTACATCTATATATATTGGCTCTTTACCTATGTCCTTATTAAGAAATAACAGTTGTTTCTTAGCGTGCTGTGATACAAAATGTCTTACAAGGATTATGTCTATATTCTATGAATATTACCAATAGAAAATTTATTAGATCATTAAATCCACATTTTTTCTTTTTATTAACAGAAGAGCCAACAATTTAATTTAACAGTACCAGGTGTATATTCTGTTATACTTGCTGCAGTAGATAAAGCTGGTAATATTAGACTTGCTAGACGATGTTTGATATTCGATGATAACAGTCAGGTATCAACTGTTCCTAATACTAATTTAAAAACCACGTCAGCATCACCTTCTACTAACTACCTTTGGCAACAAAATCATGGTCCTGTTACTATTGACTAGGAAAATAGGTATATTAATACTAAACATCATAATGGTAAATATCTAGCTGGAATCCAGGATTATCATGGTCTAGATCCAGAATATGATGATCATTATGGAATAAGAACAAAAAAACACATTGATAATGTTCAAGGTATGCTTTACTTTTTACTTCGTTAAATCAGACAATTACTAATTCCAAGAGTGAATTGTATCTTTCTGAATTGAAATGCATTTAGGTGAATCAGCCAAAACAGGCTATATAGCACCTGAATACGATAAAATTATGACGTCTTAATTCAAAACTATAAAGGTATGAACACAATAGATAAAAAATGACACTATAGATCAAAATATAACAATGACAAAACAGATAAAAACACCTGTATATAAAGATGGTTAGTGACATAAATAATGTATGTATTATACGGAAATTTATAGTAAGCCATTGATTTGGCTAATCAGTACAAACGGTTATTTAGAAAGACGCTAGCATAATATTTTAAATGCCGATTTGGGAGGTAATGATTTATATGTATGACTGCATTTTAATATTTGTAGGAATAGTACGTTATGAAACATATTATGGGATAGATGACCAAGGAGGTTCTACCATTCAACCAACAGATACTGATTTTACTACTACTGGTAACTTGAACCAATCTATAACAATTTCTCCTACATTACAAGATGGCGACACTGTTAAATTTTATATAAGAGCTTATGATATAGTAGATTTCTACCTGGAAGAATCCACCACAGTATATTTTGATATGTCGCCACCTGTTATAAAAGATCTATGGTTAACTAAAGGAGATAAAGTAGATTTAGCTGTACATGGATTTCAAGATTTCGATAAACTTGTGTAAGTAATATTTGAATTATCTTGACAGCTTAGTGAACCTAACTGTTATTTCTTGGAATTGAGTCTCACGCTAAGAACATTCCTCTCTTAAAGCGAAGAAAACATCATAATCGCTCTTTATCATAAATGGTGCATTATTCATGTGACCGTATTTATAGTAAGCACCATATATATATGGTAGAAAATACATGAGACATATTTCTAAAACATTATCACAGACTCAGGTATAATACATGTATTCTGAATTCTGCTTATGAACAGAATAGAATGGATAGCTTATGATCTACACAGTGGATTAGAAACAGTGGAGTGGAAACTTTATGATAATTTTACTGGTGATGTTATATTACATGGTTCACAACATATACCAGTACAAGGCGAAGCACAGGTTGGTTATTAAAAATAGGTCAGCTAGACTAGACTTCATTGAATTATATTATACACGTTGACTTGCCTTAGTACATATTTCAAAATTTGCCAGCTTGATTAAAATCTGTATCTGCGCCTAGTAATCGTATTTTATACTTTGACTTACCTTTGGTCACTATCCTATCAAATAGTATTTACTTCTAATTGTGGTGGCATTCGACTGGTACTGGTTTGTCTTGTTCAAATTCTGGCCTCAATCGAATGGCACAGAAACGGATATATCGTATTAAAATTGTCCATTCTATTCCTTTCAAAATTTGGAATTCTGACTATACCTACTTTTTGTGATACACGTAGAATGCACTCTTAACCCTTTTCAAACATGTTGTAGTGCACTGTCGGTTGATTCTATGAATCCCAAACGTGCAGAACACAATAATAATAACGTTTTAAAAAAATAGGAGTTAAAAATCTGGAGCTCTTACAAAATTTAACGAATGTTTTAAAAAGTCCAAAATCATTGTTATTAAAACTAACAGCACGTCTTCAATGTTTTATTTTAGACTCGTAAAGAATGTGAAGAGAAATATCAAAATTCACCCCGAGGATCTTGTTATTGTTATTGTACACCTGCTGTTGGTTGTTATCTTCAACATTTTCAAGTTAAACCTGGTGTATCATTAGATGAAGGGACTGGATTGATTCAAGGAAAACATCAAGGTGTACATGATTATGATTATTATATTGAAGTTTATGTTATGAATAATGCTAAATTATATTAGACACTCACATACAAGGTACGTAGAATTTACAATTTCATCACATATACTAAACACATTAGATGCAGTGGTGTTTTTAGGAAACGTCAGTGAGTGGGCCGAGCAGGGGCAATAGACTCGATAATGGAATTATTAAAACCTTTGTTGGTAGTAGTATGTGTACATTACCTTATGCCATTTTACCATTTACCTGTTTACCAAAAAATTTTTTTACCAAATTGAACATCCAATGTATGTACACTACACCCCCTTTTACCATATGCCGACTTACCATTTCATATACTAGAAACCTAAACACCCTTCATTTCATAAATTCTTACACTTAAAAAGACCTAAACTCCCTATAAATTATTACACCCTAAACTCCCTACATTTCTTACACTAAAAACACCTTCAATCAATTTCCTACATTTCATCAAAAAAAAGCATATTAAAAATACCCTTATATAAAAATAACAACATTTTTTAATAGCCTCGTTTTAAGTAATATTATTTTTAAGGGAGATAACTCTTTTTGGAAACACAATTTCTTCGTTAAATTAACTCATTTAAAAATAGGATGAGTTTAATTCTAAAACACGAACAACACAGATTCGAAGATTATTCGGGCGACGGTATCCTTTCTTCATTATTTTCTCTAGTTAAAACAATAGTTCATTTCAACCGGAGCGAAAGCCGTCGGCTCAATTGCGCAAGCCGGAAAGAGTATAAGCGACGCAGTGAAACAATCTGACGAGTTGAAAGAATTACAACTAATAGGAAAAGGTTTTAAAGTTATAGGATAAAAATGATAGTCGCTCACGCTCCAAAAACTTATTTCGGTTCAGGAGATATACAAAAATCATTGGGTTCTCTTCCTGGATTTCCATGGGCGAAATATCCCGGAGAAAAACATCTTCCCGGTCATAATTACACTGGTCCAGGTACTAGGTTAGATCTGCGATTAGACGAAAACGATAAACCAGGGGAAGAATCAGTCAATAGAGTTGACGCCGCTGCGACATACTATACAGAAACAAAGACAGACAAATGATAATCGAACTTGAAAATATTCCAAATCCAACTTTCAAAGAGAGAATGCAAAGAGCATTAATAATTAAACTGTTAAAAGCAAAGATCAAATTAGGCATGGGATTTGCGGATGAAATTCATAAAGAATTTATAAAAACTAAAAACTTTTTAAAAGTTAAAGTGTTAGAAAAAGATGAAATATGGTCAGCCGATTTAATTCATATGCCAGTCGAAAGAGGATTTAAATATTGCTTAACAGTTATAGATTTATATACGAGATATGTATGGGTTATTCTTTTGAAAAACAAAACAGGATTATCAGTCAAACACGCATTTGAAACGATTATGAAACAATCTAACCGACATCCAGAAAAACTGTGGGTAGATAAAGGAAGTGAATTTTATAACAAAAATATGAATCTCTGGGATTTGAATTTACAGCACACATAATGAAGGT